AAAAGGAAGAAACTAAATCAATTTCTCTTTTATTCTCAGAATAAATTCATTGTCTGGAGTTCCAGATTGTGGTTGCTCTATTGATTTATGTCATAAATTTACAAAAATAAAGCCTGTATTCTCCTGAATAGCTGCACTGGTTCACAACCTACCACGGTATACTTAATTTATCTGCTTGTTGGCAGATATCTAATACATAAGTGTAGCATATTAAAACAGCTCCTTGGAGGAATGCTATTTGTGCTGAACTGCATTTTTATTCTAAAGCAACTAAAACGTAAGTCTGTTCTTCCAGAGTTATCTGCACTTTTATATTATATGTGAGCCACTGTTATATGTTAATGCAACTGCAATTAGTCAACACCTTCCCATCCAAATAGGCTGGGAACAAACTGGTACAAAAAATCACTCTTGTAGAAAGTTTTAAATTACAAGAGGAAATTTAAAATAAGAAAAACTGTCCAACAACCACCACTAGTGACTAAATAAAAAGCACTCAGGCCCAATTGCATTACTCGCATGTTAACCCTTTAATTGCACGTTCCAGTCTAGAGGCACGAGTGCGTAGAGTGTACCAATACTTAAGTGCTGAAGTTGTCCACACCCTATTTGCACCTTTGATCCGCACTTTGTCCACATCGATGTGGACTTGGACGAAGGGTATTACCCACAATTTATTGCTGTGTGGATTTTTTGAGAAGGCAGAACAATGGCTCAAACATGTATTTTCCAACAAAAAAAGTTCATTTTAAAATGATTAACTCAGTCGTGGCCAGCCGTTTCCTGATCGGTAAAGCCCTTCGCTGCCAGCTTTTCTCGCCATTTTTACCGTTTTTTTTTAAGAGTCACAGAACTTTGCGCGTCAGGGGCTCGATACACGGGAGGTGACAAATGACCGCGATAAGCGAAATTTGTCGCTGTCGCTTTTATTACTTGACACACGGGAGGCGACCCGCGGCAGCGGCAAAGCCATCTACGCAATCCGTTCCGTGGCGAAAGTTGTTTTGTTTGGCCGTGTCAGGTTGGAGGGAATTAAGGTTATTTAAACGGTTCAGAGTTTAAAAAGTGGTATATATGATGTTTCACAAGGTGCTGCTAGAGTTACGCGAAATCTTACTTCTGATTTTACATAATAATAATCAACTTCTTCATGTTTGCTTGGAGATGTATGAGCATCCTGTCCGCTCATTGGTCAGTGAAAGAAACCTCCGTTGATTGGTCCTCGTCCGAGTGACAGCGACGAAAAGTTGAAAATATTTCAACTTTCTGGGATCGCGTCGCTGGGTCGCCTGTGCACGACACGTGCACGAGCGCAAAATTTCACACGCACGTTTTTCGCGTTTCGCTTAGTAGGAGGGAGACCCGCGATTATCTCTTTGTTGTGCATGTCTCATTGAAAATGAATGGAGGAGAGGTGATGTCGCCTCCCGTGTGTCGAGCCCATTACGATGATGATGACGCCAAAACAACCAAAACAAAGCAGAGACTCACCTCTTACATCAGGAAGAATCCGCACGTTTCGAGCGTTATCCGTTCTTTCATAATTTGTTGTTGAATTGTGATCGGCAGAAGCTTTTCCAGTTCGCGCCTCGCTTTGTTTACAGCAACAGCCCAAAACGATCTCCTAACACATGGATGTTCTGCTTCCTGATCAGGTGACGTGTGACGTATGCGGATGAAGATTAGCTTTAGAGCTGAGATGTTTGTTCTCACAGTGCGGGGGCTCATTCCGATGCCCACACAGTTTAAAAAAAGCAACTTTAATAAGCAACTTTAATCGTCATTGACATGGTATTTAGTCATGCTCTGAATAGTTTAGACTAAGAATGAATGTGAACAATGTGGTGAAAATTGTCCTCAGCTAGTTTTATAAAACCCCCCCACCCCCCTCCCCCATTCCAACCCCTTAAAGCTGAGCGTCAAGTTGGGAGGCATTGGGTCCCATTTTTACAAAGTCTTTATTATAACCCGACTGGTATTTTAACTCCGATCTCCCAGTCCCCTCTTTTGCTTAAACAGGATTTTAATAATTTTTGAATCATAGCTTTTATTTAGCTTTTTCAAGTGCAGTCACCACAAGCCTACAACCGATTCTGTCTGACTGAAAATGTGGTCAAGCTACAGGTGATGAAACCCTTCCATTGTGTAATGTAAAGTCTGTCTTCACTGTTGTGTTAAATCTGCTAGGTACAGTGTGTTTTTGTGCATTAACAGTGACAGAAGAAAATCTGAAACCCAGTTCACGGTGGAGCAAACATGTTGGTGCGTGCCTTTATGATGGAAAACAGAAAGAACAAAAATAACATCTTGTTTCTTTTCCTGAGCCTTATAAATTACTAGTGTGTTATAAAACTAGCCCCAATGGGAGTCAGAACGTCTACAGAGGCGATGTGAGGACCTGTACCCGCAGGTACAACTCCGGTTATTATCACAACTCACCCATCTGCTGTGTCATTTATGAGATTTTATATAAAGTATGTGTGTTACATCTGATGTCAAAATTCACTTCATCAATCTGCTGTAAGACATAAAAAATAACTTGATGTTAAAGATGTATTTATTTATTTGTTTGATTGTTTATTTGGCATTTAGGGGGTGCTTGACGACAGCACAGGCCTTTGATGTCTGTGTGATTGAATGAGGTCGTGTTTCAGGGGTTATGGAGATATTAGGGAGAATAAAGCAGCATGTCCGTCATTCTAGGAGCTGCAGCTGCATTGCTGCGACTTCCTTGGCCGGGCTGTCCATCTCCACATTTCACAGCTCCGACGTGACTGCTGCAACGAGACAAGGAATTGCCACGTCTGTGCCAAGTCCTACACAGCTACTTGCTCCCTCTCTCAGAGGAGAGCATCTGCATCCTGGCTGCAGCCTCCTGGCTTTGCTCGGGTCATCCCCCAGACCACGTCATTACAGAGGACATCAGGTGAGTCTCTCCATAAATTAAATCTCAGACTGAATTTACACAAGATTCAGGTTTAGCCTCAGCAAGAAAACCTCAGTGTCCTTCTCTTTTCTGCATTTTCTGCACTCATGCTAGCCGTTTGTGAAAACACGTTTTTTAGTTGGGTCCCAAAGGAACCAGCAGATTGTTTTAAATCAAATATGTTTGACAAAATTATATTTTCATACATCAAAATATATAAATGAGTAGGTTAAACACACTTTTATGTGAGCACATGTTGGAACAAATATTGTAGATGCTGTGGTGTTAAATTATTTATCAAAGACCTGTACTGATTTACTATCTTAGGGGCCAAGGTTTCACCTCTTTGGTAGTGTGTGGGCTTTTCAGTTCATTCTTCGCTCCTTAGTATCCTCACCTTAACCCTTGAAGGTACAAACCACCTCTATGGGCGCTTTTCACTTACATTTCAGCATGTCTGATCTGCTTCTCTATAGTTTATGTAAGAGGATGAAACTAGACTGAACAGCACAAATCTGATGATTTAGTTTGTATTTAAGTCACTTTTATACGTTGTCCAAATCTGATGTTTATCAAAGCAACCTTAGTCTAAGATACCATGTCACATTTCATCTTATTCATACATTATTGAAGAGTGTGACAAACGTTACTTGCCTTCAACGGGAGAAAGCAGGAAGCAGCAACATCATATGTGACATGTCTACTCCCAAAACCGCAGCAGGCTGTATGCGATGTTGTGTCTTTTTGGGTCACTTTTGTGTTGTAGACTCTTCATGCTGGAGGCTGGTGGTGGTCGCATTTTATTTAACAACAAGGAAAATACAAACAAGACTTGGGATAAGTACCGAATTCTGTACTTTTTAAGGCACTGACCGAATTCTGTGATACATACCAAGGATTGGTTGACGTGATATGAAACGGTACTTTGTTTTGATACCTGTCCTTCATTAACTATAAAATGTAGACAGCAGCGCATGCGCAAGAGCATAATGTCATCAGTCGCTGTGGGCAAGCTGTAAACCGAGCAAGCAGCATGGCAGAGAGAGAGAGAGAGCCTCTAAAGTCTGGGTCTACTTCACTGAATGCGATGGGCGACTGAGTGATGATGCCAACATTGACAATGATTTAAGTGAGACATCATCTAAACCATCCATGATAACATTAGCTTGATATTTTAGCTTCTGTTGCTATCAGCTAATGCTGCATTCACTTTCTCCTCTGAACTCTGAAATTCCAGCTTCCAAGTAGGAAAATTCAACAGTTTGAAAAAGAACAGCAAAAAGGAATGAAGATACACAGTAAATTAGGTTCATTTGACCAGAGGAGAAACCAGAGGAACCGGAGTACATGGAGCTGGGTTTTAGTTGTGGTTAAAGGTTGTCTTATTGAAGACTTTGTACAACACTATGACGATAAAATACAAACAGGTGTATGCTATTCATTGTGATGGTTATCAAATGTGGTTATATAATGAGAAAAAAATCTATGAAAATAGAATGACTTAATTATTACAAACCCCAAAGTATAAAAAATTGGTACCATTAAGTGTCGGTATTGATTCCTAGGTACCAGGATTTGGTACCATATATACTGTATTTAAATGTCAAAGGTACCCATCCCTAAATAAGACACTAACGTTTTAAAAACAATTAAGACCTACAGTCTGTTATAATCTGTAATATGTGATAAAACATTCTAACTTCACAAAAATAAATAACTGATAAACAACAAATTAAACAACCAGTTCCTCTAGTTCGTGTTCACAGCGCAGGAAGGTTAGGTTTGCTACTGGGGGTATTAGGGCCACATAGTAACACACACACACACACACACACGCACACACACACACACACACACACACACACACACACACACACACACACACACACACACACACACACGCACACATACGTGCGCTCTCTCTCCCTGCAGACACAGTTACTATAAAAATAAGAGTTTTCCCGATAAATGACGATGTTTTAAAAGCTTTTGATGCTAAAGAGGCCCCCTGCTGGTCGGACCACTGGGCCTTCGCGTGAGGAGGAAAATGATCTCCTTTCTAGCGTCACTAAATTAAACACCTCCAGCCCCCCAGTCAGACTGTCAAATTGGCCAGTTTAGAGTCATTTCGGGTACGGAGGTGCAGCTCGGAGGAAAACATTCAAAAAGTTTGTTTATTCAGAAACAGGAGGCTGCTCTGGCTCCAGGTGACGTAACAGACCGTCTTTATTAACTTGAAACTGTTGAGCGTCTGAAGCAGACTCGGGCTTTCTTGCGCTTTCTCCTCATCTGCAGGGGTATAGCTGTAACCCTCCCGGCACCCGTCTTGGACCAGCCACCATTTATAGCCCGGCCGGCGGTGACAAACAATCTTATTATGAGATTTAAACTTTGCCTCTGCTGGTCTGAAGGATCAACACGCGCTCCTCTCGCAGATCCCCCGCTGTTCCCCTAACTGACACCGCGAGACATCCGCCGGGCTGCGCGCCTCTTCTGAGGGCGGTTACACGCCGGTGTCAGCTCTCGGTGTAATAGAAAGACCCGAGCAGGGCTCCGGGTCTCTTTAGAATACATGAAGGCGAGCGATGAGAAGAGCTCAGCCCCCGAATTAAATCACTCACCGCTAAATGGATCTTTGAGACTCCCCTGACGCAGACTATCGCTGCTCCTCACACCGACTGCAGAAATTTTGGATTCCTTCTGAAACATTTTTAAACCCATTCTTTTTATCATTGCAATCGCCCTTTTTTGTCTTTTTTTCTGAAAATGTCTCGTGCGCGTGGTGAGATACAGTAAGCCGTCCTCCTTGCGTCGGAGAGGGCTTCTATCTCTCTCGCTGCGATCGTTAAGCAGGTAAGCTGATTTTTATGCCTAACTTTCATTTCTCGGTCTACAGACCGAGTGCTGTGAGACACTTTGTGGTTACAAACATTTATGTTGGTGGAGCGGGACATCTGAGCATAAATCTGAAGAGTAGGATTGCTGGAATAGTCCGTCCGTTGTGCAAAGCAGGCAACTTCGTGCATGCATCTTTCAAAATGTGCAGCTCAACTTTTGCAAAGAGGATGCTGAAGCTAGAGCATGTCATATATATATATATATATATATATATATATATATATATATATATATATATATATATATATATGAATGTAAACGGGGCACTTGTGTCGCCTCATCGCAGTAACTGTCTCTTCATTAGTTCCGGTTCCATCCGCTTTTCTTTCCTCTTCATTTCACATAGAATGAACTGACGTTTGCTAGCAGTGGGGTTGCGTGGCCACAGCTCAGTCAGATGGAGCCCCTGACAAAGTAAAGTGGGTACTTTGCGGCTGAGAGGCTCCAGGAACAGTCGGGATGTCTCTTCAGCACCGCGGACAGCTCCGGGGCCGCTCCGCTCAACCGTTAAATGAGAAACTTTTACTTCAGATTCACTGAAACAAACTGAAATCATTCATTGTGTGTCGGGAACTGTCACTTTGTCAGACCACCAGTTAGTCAAAAAAATAAAAATAAAGACATATACATCCCTGCAGGCCTCCCATGATCACAAACATAAAATTACAGCTGGTATCACGAATCAGGGCAGGAAATTAATTAAATCCAAACAACCCCGAAAAGCAAATGTTAAATAGTCAATGCACCAGACCAGGACCCGAACGTGCAGTAATGTTGCCATTACTCTGTCAGCCTTGTTCCTGGAGTAGCTCTGTGCTGTCTCACCCTGATTAGCTGAGGATTTTACAGTGTGTGCCATCTGTCTAAAGAATGCCTTCTAAATGCTGGATGCTGGACGTGTTGATTTAATTCGGCAGCACAAGGCTTCATATGGATGGATTTCTCTTTTGTAAATCAACATCATCTCCACGGATGCTAAGCCAGCTTCCTAGTCTTCTGCACAACTGAAGAGTCAGTAGTGGGAGTGAGTGGGCATCGGCGGAGTCCGAGCTTGAACAACACCAGGTTTATGTCATTTAAACCTGTGGTCACAGAAATGAGACAAAACTGCTGCACCCCTATGAAAGAATACCAAATAACTTCTTGTCGTCTGTGAAGAATGTAAGACCTAATCCGTCTTGTGCCTTTAAAACTGAATCAGCTGGGCTATTTGCTGGAGTTTGCCGTTGTTCTAGTTGTTTCAAAGCCCAGTCTTAACCTTTCCCGGCAGTGTGAATCATCAAAGTTGTGCAATCAGGAGTTATGACAGTTTCAAAACATCTCAGTTTTGCTGTTGTTGCTAAAGATGTCTCCCGCATTTGCCTTCACATCTCCCTTTTCCTGTCCCCCTCCCATTTCCCTTATCTTGATTATACAGCTGGATGATTGAGTCAGCTGTTTTGTATGCAAGCTGCCTTGGCTTGGCTCTTTGTGGAGGAGCGAGAAAGAGATCGTGCCGAGGATACTGAGAGAGAATTACGGCTGCTCATGACCATGAGAGGCAGAAAAGACGAGGGTGCCCTGTTCGATAAATTGCTATTTGAGAGAGACAGATATCCTAGGGGGACAGCTGTTTTGGAAATGTGACTAACCTTTCTAAATGGAAATGGCAGTGTGCATTACGGTTTTCACAAATCTACACCACAGTCAACTTGGATTGATGGATAAAACTGAACTCTTATACCAAGTTAGCCTTTATTTGAAACTTGTCTTGAAATTTGATAGGAATAACCAAAGGTTCAATTGAAAGAAGGACTTGGATGAAAAACCATCCCTGCCTTTAGCATTTTTCTTGTGTTATACAGAAAACTGAGAATCATGCATGAAAACTTTTCTGGTCTTCTTGACTGGTAACTGATGGTTACCATGAAGACCCAAAAGCAGACTTTATGCAAAATTGTCTATTCATCACACTGCCACCAAGGCGTGGCTGTACCAGTGAAGCACTGCTTGTTTATTTAACAAAGTGTGAAGTGTAATCAAAGAGGCAGAAACCGTAGACATAGCTGTGAAACATATGGTGAAGCAGCATGGTCCAACTCGGTGCCGCAGCTCCTGACAACCAATAAAAGTTATTGTGCTGTGAGTTCATTTACAAGAGCAGGTGCACCACCACAGCTGTCAAACGTGACTCTCACTTGTTTGATTGAGGAAATAATGAGCTGGATTCCCTCAGTTTTGAAGAAGGATAACTAAATTTGCCACAGAGAAAAAAAAACCTAATCAAAAGGGACTAAATGTATTTTACTCCATATGAACTGCTAAATGGATTGAAGGCACTGCAGCCCACATGCAGCTGTATAATTATAACTACCCTGCACACATGGCTTAGTATAAATTAAAACTTGGTGATTATGAATAATATTAAAACCAATAACCTAAAAAATGATGCATGATGCTGATAATCACAAACTGATTTTACTTTTTTTACATCTTATAGTTGTTTTACCTGCCAATCTTTTGTGTTTGGGATAATATTGTCTCTAAATGTGAAACACTTCATGGGTCTAAATCATTTTAATTAGAAACAATGAGAATGATGATCATTGTTCTGATATCAGGATTAAACGAGGATTGTATCATGTATGTATGCATATATATATATATATATATATATATATATATATATATATATATATATATATATATATATATAGATAGATAGATAGATAGATAAACTCTTTGAAAGAGTAGGACAATGACTGTTGAAAGAATTTGAAGAAGTTTCTAATTAAACTTTACTGGTGAAGAAAGTAAGCCTTTGTCACTTTTACCACAAGTTGTTGATAATCTTTAATTTTAGTGCCTTTTGTTGTCTCCGACTATCAGTGAGCAATTTCCTGCTTCTCACCCTACTGGTTGAAAGTGGGATAACAACCATCGAAAACAACCCTGCTGCAGCCTGCTGTAAGCTAGCACTGGTAACAAGCTAACACTAACATGAGCAAACTAATACAAAAATAAATCACAACATAAAACATCCACACTGTTGGACAAAAATATTATTACCTACAAGCGCTTTGTTTGTCCACTTTGGGCATGTGAATGTGCTTTATAAATAAAGTTGATTTGATTTGATTTGAAGTCCAAAAGCAACAAAGCCAGGTCACCATCAGTCTGTGTTACTGTAGCCTTCTTTAGCTCCCTCAAACTAGCGTAGGCCGCTCTGATGTTCGCTCTGGTTTAAACTCTTTGTTTCACCTCCAAAAACATTACTCTCTTACTTTTCTTACCAGTCTCCGCCATGATGCTAGCAGAAAAAACATGCTTCTTATTTTTCTTCTTCTTGTGCTTTTTATTGAAGATATGCAAAAAGAAAATGCTAACCACTAACATTACAGCTGATAGCCATAAAGCAGGTAAAGAGCACCCCCTAGGACACCTACCTGCTCCACAAAACTATCTAGTGTGGATTTTGGTCAGCAGAGTGGTGCCAGAGATGAGACGGATCAAGTTTCTAACTCAACAATCACTGAGATCAATGTTAAATCTCTAGCTTATGGTAAAACATGTCTATTGTTAATACAAAAAAAGCCAGTTTAGGAGGAAAAGCATCAGTGTATTTATTTTTCTGTTCGTTTCTGCATCTCCTCCAGGAGGACTTGCTTAGTAGTGAAGAACAGAACCATCAGTGACACGGAGTCTGCTTTAGGACAGGTGTCAGTGAACCAAAGTGTTTCTGGGGGTAAATTAGCATTCTGAACTCAGGGTTTGTTGACGGTTTTTAATTTCTAGTGCAGCTGTAACAAACAGGTACGGCACAAAATGTTAGAAAAATGCAGCTACCGGCTGGACATGTTTTCAGTAGACAATGCAAAAACAAAGATGCACTGCTCTTGAGATGATATCTCCTCCAACTCTGGCAAACGCATAAGTGAACTTCACCTTGAATCAGCGCCTCATGAGTCATTAACTGCACAGTGCGTTTACAGAGCTCCGCTTTGGTCTTACGTCAGGAAGAGAATGTATTTGAATTCATTCAGAGGACTGAAAGTGGCAGCAGCAGCGTTTTGAATTTCAGGCACGTTTGAGGAGAAAAATGTGCCAGAAGCTACCATTATCTCTCCCAACTTTTGTTTCTTTTGCCTCCTATAAGCACAGTGCTAATTACAGCAAAGAAGAAATGAAGATGATGAGTTTTTCACCTGCTCTTTTAAAACTGGCCCCTGAGACAATAAATCATAAGAAGGAATCATCACAGAGAGAACGTTACGCGGGGATCATGGTGGGGATGTGGAGCGTCACTCAATCAGTCATTTAGGAGTCAACAAAAATTAATCCAGAGCAGAATATCAGAAACATTTGTGCTGTCTCCTCAACCACCTACTGGTTTCCTTATAAAGCCCAAGCATCACAGAGTGGAAGAATAAGGCACCATGAGCGTTTCTTATTCACCGTCTTTTGATTCTACTTTGCTCCTGGCTCCTGAACACCTACATCAGGACATCACCAATCATGGTTTTTAAGCGTCTCGGGACAAGCGCTAATGTCTGCTTGTGTCTCCCATGTACTGAGATAAAAGCACAACATACCAGGTTTAAAAGAATGACGTCACAAGTCTCATCACAGTTAAAAAGTGTTTGATGCAAGGTGAGGCTGCAGCAGCGTTGTGATGCATGCTGCACATTTCCTCTGTGCATGTGGACGGTACCCAGCACAAACAAACACATGAACACAAACATGCAGGCATAAAAATAACTCTGGCCTCATTTCGTAAAGAGCTCTGTCTCACCTTTGGAAAGTCACACAGTAAAGAACATTTATCATATATTGTATGTTTTCATATTTAAGGCAAACCCCTAAAATGTTTGTCTTATGCTTGTTTTTCCCACGATAATCAGAGAACATCTGCGTATGATTTTTAAATTCCTTTAAACTAAATTCAAGCCAATAACAAGGAAAGGTGCATCCCTTCC